GAGGATAAAAGGGGTGCAGAGGGATCTCTTCACACAGTCCTGAGCTCCCTGGAGGAGGGATGGAATGAAAATAATATCTAATAAATAGAATGAATGCATCCAGCATTGAGACAATACATCTGCATGAAAACAGTGTGGAGCAGTGGTTAGACTGCTGGATTGGGACTTAGGAGACCCACCTGTTCAGTCCACTACATGACTTTGGGCCAAACAGACTCTCAGCCTAACCTACCTCATAGGGTATTTGTGAGGATAAAAGGGAGAAGAAAGACCTTGGGTTCCTTGCAAGAAGAAAAAGGGAAGGGTATTACCTTCTTACTTGGGTAATAAATAAAAATATTCACCATGTACATAAAATGGCAGCAGTGATTGGTGCTAAGTCTTTCTACCTTTGTTATGTGCATTTACTACCTGTAATGGGATGGAACACTATTAGCTTCTTAACAAAGGTCTAAATGAATAGAATCAAGTTTATTGATGAATTCTGCTCTAGCAATTTCACCAGTTTCACCAATCTTTGATATACTTCTGTTGAATAATGGTAACTTTCACAAATGTTTTAAGACACTGACCTGTTCTCAGACTGGCATCCAGCAGCAGCATTTTTTTAAATATCTGTTGTTTAGAGACTGTTTGTTAGACTGAGCTGTTTGTCCTGTTTACAAAGTGAAAGGACTGTGTTTATAGCTGATAATAGCATCTGTCACAGCCTATTGAAGATCCTTGCTGAAGTTATGGCTGAAGATAATAACTTGAAGTAGAATATTTATTCTATTAGGACTATTCATGTTTTTAAGCTTGCAGTATGGCATGCAGAGATACATGGAATTCTTCCAGATTAAAAATAATCGGCAAATTTGGTATCTTTGGTCATAATCCACATGAAGTTATCTATATCCTTGAGGATGGATCAGTTTGTTCAGGAACAACAGCCAAGTTGTTGTTAAGATTCACTGCAGCCACTTGTGTTGCTGAAGAGGCAAGCTACTTAAAATAAAACTAGGTTGCCTCTTCAGCATGCAGTGGAAATTTCAAAGAGAGTGCTGTTTCTTCAGGCTTTTCTTCAGTCAACTTACAGGGGAAACCAGCAGCCATCAAAGGTGGTCTAAAATATGTACAAAAAGGGGAACATATGAATATAGTCTTTGGAAAACTGGCAAAGACGAATATACAACATGCTCTAAATGCTCGACATTCCCCTTTGCTTTGTTTTCAAAGAGTTCTTTTGTTCTTGCTTGACACATTTTACTGCTGAACAACCCTCAACAGTAAACAAAGAGCTGCCTACATTCCAACTGATTGCTTCATCCATTATTATCATATTTATTTATATCCTGCCTATTCCCATTGATTGAGCTTCAAGGGATCCATCAAGATGCACTGCTATCCTTCTTGCTTACATTTGCATCTTTCCTGTTCCGTTTATGATATATGACTTCTAATCTTTATATGATTACACAGTATCTTTATATGATTATACAGATTATATTCTTTATACAGTATCTTTATATGATTGCAGGTGAGCTTGGAAAAAATCTTCAGATAGTCCAAAAACTGACATGTGCATAATTTATTAGCCTTAGTTCCATTTTAACAATAAATTCTGAAAATAAAATGAAAATACAGCATAAATCATCCATCGCATACTATCACAAGTCAATAACTTTGCTCGGTATTCGCAGAAGCTGATGTGTGACCACGGGCAAGAGCAGCTTTCCCCAGCCTGGTTCCTTCTGGATGTTTCAGGTTCTAGACTATTAGCCATGCAGGCTATGCAGTTTCTAGACTTGCTTTTCTGGTAGCAAGCAAATTCCCAAATCCTATTTTCCCTGATTGTCTGGCAATGTTACAATCCTACGAAAACTTACTTGGAAAAGAAGCCTCACTGAACACAGGGTACCTGAGGCATGGGAGTGAAACAAGTTTTGTTCTATTGTTTTCAGTAGGTCCTAATTTAGATTAACTTCTGCTGGACAGCAGCCAGCACTCTGCTGCAATGTGTGAATGTCCATCAATCTGGAAACAATTCATTTTTTGTGACTTCTAGATATTGTCTTTTGAAATATATATACATTTATTAGCATTGCTAAACATTTTCCCCAGGGAAAAACAAAATACAAGGCATATGTTTGCAAAACAGCCTTCATAAGACCATAAACAAAAGTACAACACTTCAGTTGATACTGATGGAATTCACAGATCATTTTTCTATGAAATTCTACCGATTACTGTGCAGCAGGTTTTTTCTGTTACAATGTTGAGCAAGATGGTGGCTGGGTACAAATGTGAGAAACAAATTTCTCAAAAGGGTTTTTTCACATTACAGAAGTTGAAATACCTTTCCTAAGGCTTATTTACTGGCAGTAAGAGTTTTAAGTTCCAATTTGGTATGTTTGGAGCCCATCCCTGTTGCCTTTGGCCTTGCCCTGTTTTTCTTTGGTCCTCCCCACACGCATGGGACATGCCCTCCACAAGGTCTCCAAAATTGAATGTGGCCCTCAAGTTGAAAGAAATTCTCTCAACCCTCCAATAATCCATGGTTTCTCATCATTTATTTCTTACTTTAATATCCCCCATCTTTTCCTCTTGCAAGGAACAAGCCTTGGCCCTCCTGGTAGACTCACATGCTCCTCTCTCCTTCCCTGGCACATCATGACAAGCTCTGGTTTCCCTCTTAGATCATCCAGTTTAGCATGTCCTCTACATCCATGACTGAACTTAATATCATCTATGGTTAGTGAAAACAAGCAATTCCAGGAACAACAGACATGAACAAAAAGAAGTAGATTTGTTTCTACCTACTGTAGTTAAGATTACTTGGAATTTGTGCAGGCTGAAATGAAATGGCCAGCTTCAGTTAATCAAAAGTAATAGCAAACAGTTCTGAGCTCCTGTTCCAAAGGAGCTCATGAGCCCAAGGAAGCCTAAGATCATTCTTGCAATACTAAACTCTGGTTTGCCATTGCACATGAGTGAATTGCCTTGCACAGACATCACTTGCAAAGTATCAGTGGGTATAGGCCTACCCCAAGCTGTTTTGTTCAAAATGTGTTCTCTGTTGATACAATGGGCCTGAAGCTTTGTGACAGGTCTAGGATATAGGCATCAATGTGTACAACTGGCGCACCAGGACCAGGGATGAGGAAGGTAGATGCAGATCTTGGCATGATTTTGTAGGGTCAAAGGCAAATGTAAAGTCAGGAAAAAGCAACAGACTGACACCATCAAGGCATGTTCAGAGGCAAAAACGGAGTGAGGAACAGGCAAGGTTAGATTCCCAACAAGGCCTGACCAGTCTAAAGACAAAGTCAAGAATGGCCAGTGGCCATAATGACACAGTATGGCAGAACCAGAGGTGAAAGCAAGGTTAGGTACAGACATTAGTATGATGAGAAAGATTACATGACATTTATACCCTGCCTTTTTCCTCTTGTAAGGAACCCAAGGCAGCTCACATCCTCCTCCACTCAATTTTATCCTCACAACAACCCCCTGGGTTAGGGCTGAGTGACTGGCCCAAAGTCACCCAAGCAGTTTTATGCTGAGTGAGGACTAGAATCCAGATGTCCCAGTTCTCCAGTCCCACATTCCAGTCACTACACCACTGTAACCACACACAATGACTGGGTTTGGACAACATAAGCCATGGTGATTTCATGCCATGGATAATTTGCCATGTTGCTTGAATCCAGTTGTGGTATTTCACCATGGTACATTTGGTCTTTATAAACCACAATAAGAAACAATGCTTTGTTCTATGGTTTCTCTGTACCATCATGGCTTGTCATGTTGTCTGAACCCAGGATCATGGTTTCCACAGTCCTGGTATTCAACTATCACAGAGGCCCTTGGGAAAAGTAGCAACTGCTATCCAGGAACCACTCCAACCATCCAGTGTTTATGTGTAGACCAATGAGAAAGAGGGAGCCAACATAGACAGGAGTGATGCACCTTGGGATTGAATTTCAGATACTGTGGCTAATGGGATACATGCCAACAGTAAGAAGACTGAGTGGGGAGGATGAAAACCATAGCAAGCATAGAAACCACTTTATCATCTGTCAGGCATATCATGGTAAAAAAAACCATGGTAACCACACAGGCTTGTTTGTCATGTCATGTGGATAGAGCCACTGTAACCCCCAGCCCACACAGTCAGCAAAGCTTAGCAGAATCAAAGCTAAGGGCAAGAATCCGGTATCTTGTAAGACAGGCAGGACACAGACACCAGAAAAGCCCATTTTGGTGTGGCAACGTGGGTAGCCCAGGGAGGCCTTTTATAGAGCTTTCCAGAGCTCCCAGCTGCATGGCATAATTATTCAGACACCAATCCTTGCAAGTACATATAGGTCTGATTCTGGTCCTGCAGGCACTTGCAGGGTGAACCATGGTGCTCTTCACAGTCAAAAGGTAGATTTATCAGGGTATGCCATATCACTTTGCTAAAAAAAAAAAAAAAAAAAAAAAAAACGGGTTTCCGTTCATCCATAAAAACTATTGTCCTTCAGCAGGTGACCTATCAATGTTCATAGGAGAGTAACAGCTTCTCCTGAAAACAAAAATCCAGTTATTGCTTATTTATTTGTTGTTGTTAGTCGTGAAGTCGTGTCCGACCCATCGTGACTCCATGGCCAACATTCCTCCAGGCCTTCCTGTCCTCCACCATCCCCCGGAGTCCACTTAAGCTCACGTGCTTATTTATAGCTTTATTTAAATATGTTGTTGATGGATTATTGAAGTTGAGGAGGGGGAGAAAATAATCCTCCAGTCAAACAAGTATAACATGGGCAGTCTGGAAAAGGCCAGGTCACCTAGGAAACCTGATCCACAAATAATGGTCCACTTCCGTTTGAGTGGTTTGTATTTAGAGAACATTTTGCAACTTAACATGTATAGAGTCTATTCTTCAATGAAATAATCAATGATGAAATAATTATCAATAATTAATATTGATCAATCAATGATATTACAATAATCAATGATATTACATCCTCCTATAGATCATTCTCGATGGGTCCGCGGACAGCCTGTGATCTGTTCATGATGCCTTCTTTATCATCAGTCTAAGAAACAAGAATGGAATCTTGTCTTGTACCACAAATGATCTTACAGCATCAGTACATGAAGAAATTCTGTGCAAGTGTTTGTTCTATGACTCTGGGACTACCTGTGCTTCCAAACCAAGGACTCCTAACATTGCTAATCCAGAAGCATCATGCAGCTATCCATCTTTTCTTCTTTAATTGATTTTCTTTGCAGAAAGAAATAAAAATAGATGAAGTGGTAGGAAGACACAAGAGGGTTGCAAGTTAAAGACAACAGCATTTGGACCTTCCATAACATTATGTGAATGAAGCAGGGTGACTGCACATGAAAACCTTTCAAGGACGATTTAGTACACAGACAATATGTGGAAGAAGCACTTTAAAGGATCCAGTCATCATTCCTTTCCTTCAGATAGGAATTTAAACATTTATATTTTTTATATTTAAAAAATAAGCTTTCAATTTGGGGACGAATCATCTTTAAGGACCTTTTTAAAGAAAGAATAATCCTAATCCAAGTTTTCATCATATTGATGGCATTCATCACTTATCAATTACTGTGTTATTTAGACATGGCTTTATTCCACAATTGCTGTCCATAAAACCTCTACAATGTCAGCTTTGAGTGCAGTTATGATACATATTTGTGTTAATGAATTCACAATTGGGAGCTTTTGGAGCATGGGAAAGTGTTTTAGAGAACTTCTGCAAACCAGCACATACAGTACGAATGCAGAAAAAGATGTATGTAGATATGCCATACAGGTGTACAAAAATATGCTGGAGGGTTTCTTGTAAGAATTCCCCATGCTCTCAAAGGTTGTGCTTTGCACACTGTTCATCAATCAGAATAGTAGTCTACTTGCAAAGGGGGAAAAATCTATCAAGTTAATGCCTATAAAATCATTTTATTTAAATGGTACTTTTCTTTGTAAAGTAAGCTACAACTTTTAATACTGTATTAAGGGCAATGATGAAATTCTGCTCTAAAGAATGTCATGAAGAATTTTGCTATAGACTATTTTGGGCACAGGAGAATGTTTGAAGAATTCAGATTTGCAGGTAACAAACCAGTGAATTTGTACAAGTTTGCTCTTTTTTCTGCATAAATGATAAATAGATGAATGAAGAACAGAAGTACAGTATCCTGTTTCCCATAGTAGATAACTATGGGAATGCCAAAAATAGGACATGAAGGCAGTATAGAATCTGCTACCAGTATTTGGGATTCCCTTCCTGAATATACCCAATCAGGCACAGATTTAGTACCATAACATCTTCAGGAGAGATACACACCAGAAAAAAAAATATTTAGCTTCTCTTCCCCATTCAGAATATTTTAGCTCCTTTGTCATTGAATGGTGCAACCACCTCTGTTGCTTGTTTCCTGCTTCTGATGTATGTAAATAAGTTTGGTTTATTTTAAAGTTCTTAGAGGGATGCTTCGGTTTTTTACATCTCTTATGGACTGGATGTATTCAATCAAACTGGGGAAATACACCACAGTAGCTTATTCTCCTGGCCATGCATGCCAGTTATATGTTGGCAGAATTTGTCCAATTACCCTAGCTGCTGCATCTTGCTGCATTATTCCAACCGAGGCAACATGACTTTTTGGAGTGGGCAAATTAGCCATGGGATGTTGTTGGGTCATTGCCCAGTTCCGACAAGCCATGCTACCTATGTTTCCACAACATGATAAACACTAGGTGACCACAGATGCCATGCAGAAAATGGCACCTGGCACAACACAGCAGCGGCCAGGGCTAAATTAAGCTACCCTGGACTCTCATGTCATGTGAACTGGCCCTCTCTTCCTTTCATCACTTGTGCCAAAGGTTGTGTTCTGTTTGTTGTTCTTGTTTGGGCAAGACCTTCATTTTCTGAAGATTATGCCTGTGCAATTCAACTCAGCAGACAGCAAGCCAACAATATTTGCAAATGTATCTGTTTGCCCTTGCCTGCATTAAATATAGATGGGTATATGTATCTGTATGTGCATTGGAATGCATCAAAACTATTTCTTGCTGAGACCCTGCTGAAAAGTCTGCCTGGTGTGTGAGATTGATAGCCTACTGAGAAAGCTAACAGCTTTATTATTAACTTCATGCAAACTTAAAAGCTGGTATCTTGTTTGCTAAGACTATATCTTGCTGCCTAGCACAGCAGCCCAAATAATATTTCCAAAGCTAGTGACTGATACCAATAATTTTATTAGCTACTGGAGGTTTATAGAAGGAAAGGTTCTGTGCTGTTCTCTCTCTGTGCTGCTACTACATAAGCCATCTGTTTTGGTCTAGAATATCTGTTCTTCCTTTTACAGAGAACACTATTCATACATAAAATTCTTTACATAGTGCAAGCCTATGCATGTTGATTTGGAAGTAAATCCCGCTGTGTAAATAGGCTTGTTCCCCAGTAAGTGTGTTTATGGTGGCATTCCTAATAGGAGTCATCCTTGTAACTTGGTGAATGTGACCTGTTTTGTCCTCATACTTCATATAATGAGGCTGCTAACCGTAAGCCGTTTATCTTTTTGCTTTTCCTTGACAGAAAAGTAGTCTGAATCTAGACAAGAGACTATCATCTTAGAAAAATCATGCTACTTGTTCACAGATCTTGCCTTCAGAAGTTGGTTTCTCTTATCCAGGATGGCACTGCACTAAATCACCTTCACCCAACTTGATGCCCTCCTGATGCGTTGGACTACAGCTCTGGCCGTCCACAGCCAACATGGCTGTTGCACACACTGGCTGGAGTTGTTGAGACTTGTAGTCCAACACATCAGGGGGGTGCCACGTTGCAGAAAGATGATCTAGAGCAGTGCGGTCTTGGACAAGGGAAACCAACCTCCTGAAAATATTATATGTGAGTATGTATGGCTAGTTTTTCATTTGTTTTTATTCTTGTGTAACCCACATCAGGATTTATTTCAAACGGGAAGCAGTATATTAAAATTGCCAAGAAATATAGGGCACATCACCATCTACTTTCAGGAGGTGTTGGAACAGGTTGGTGCTAGGTATGCACAGATGTGCCTTCTGGGATCACTTATAGCTGCCCTTCTCAACCTGGTGCCCTCACATATATTATTCACAACTCCCAGTATGGCCCAGCCCAACACTTCAGAGGGCAACAGCTTGGGGAAGGCTGCTCTACAGAGCCTGATTTCTGCCAAGCCTGAGCAGAAGTTAGCACGAAAAATGAATCCAACAGAGCACTTGCTCAAATCCATCGAGAAAGCCCATAACACAGCTCTGCTGAAATTAACATATTCAGTGCATCTTGTTGCATGCAAATGGAGGGTTTCCAGAAGTAGTTATTTAGACTGGGTTCAAGCTGCTGTGTGCAGGGATTTTCCACCCTTCACAACGGTCAAAGCAACAGACTGTTTTGGTAAAGTTCTTTATTCAACAAAGCATACCCAATAAACTCAGTCACGCCAGAATTTATGTACAGAGCAGTTCATTGAACCCATTATAAACTACTACTTCTGGAAAACCTACTTTTGAGTATGTCTGGGCCCAATCCCTTTGGAAGGCCCCGTTTGAAGCAAGTATGCCCCTTCTGTCCTGGTCATGCCCTACCATGAACCCCTGCTTGGCTAGCTCTCCTCTTTGAATGCCACATCATGGGGTCAGCAGTTGTATCAGATTCATCTGACTCTGAAAGGTCCTCTCCGATGCTCCTACCTGACAGCTGTACATCTTGGTTATTCACAGAGCTGCCTGAGGACTTGGGGTGGACGGCCTTGAGAGAGAGAAGCACCTCCTCTTCTCTCATCTCAAACTCTACAGCCCCTTTCCCAGTCCCCCTCCACCTCCTTCTCTTCATTCTGATTCAGTGCAGATAGGTGTGACCCAGGAGTGCACACCAAGATCTGCCTCTCTCATTCCCAACTCTGCTCTGTGTTCTCTACTCTACTTTCTTGTTGCCTTCAGCTGTGGTGGAAAAGGTCCCTTCTTCAGCACTGAGGACAGATTTAACTGCTGAGTCCACTCAGCTGTTGCACATGGAATAGGTAATTCCACGAATAGGTACCTGGTAATTTGCCTCAGGCTGGCCCAACCAACCATCCCAGTATGTCCCTTCCTCTCAGTTGTCACCCATAGCAGGCAGGTGAACTCTCAGACCTTGTTTTTGAACAGTTCTTATCAAAAGCAAAGCCATAAACCATGAAATAAGCTTCCTATGTTAATTATTTTTTTTTGCAACTGGTCACATTGGGAATGTTGTCCCACTTCATTTCTTTCAACGGCTTTTACACTGTACTTATAGTCTAATTAAAAGCCTATTCACTTACCAGCCAAAGTCCTACAATGGGGATGTGTGAAGAACCTGGAATCTTGGTGCCTGCCCAAATGCCCTACCCTTTCCCATTAGAACAAAGAAAAGAAAAGTTCTTCCCGACAGCTTCAATTGTTTCACAATAAAGTGAAGACTTCAGCTGCTGCCATCTTCATTTCCCATTAATAGCTCTGGGCTACAGGAGAAGCCGAGACATATCCTTAGGAAATATAGGTGGCAAGCTGTTGCAAGCCAATGCTTTCCTGTACAGCACAGGAAAGAAGGGAAGAGGGCAAAAATGAAGCAACTCAAACGAGTTGTACATGCTGAGGCGTTGGCTCCATCTTTGCCTTGTAGTCAATCTTTTGGTACTTGCCTTTGTCACTGGCCATGCTCCCTGTGGTGGCCATTTTATGGTGGTGCCAAGGCTGTTTTCCCAAACTGCTGAGTGTGCCTAGGGCCCAAACAGGGTGGTCTATTCCTGGTCTTTGCAATGTATGGCTGTGAAAGTTGGACTCTAAGGAAGGCTGAGCACCAAAGAATTGAGGCCTTTGAATTGTGGTGCTGGAGTAGACTCCTGCGAGTCCCTTGGACTGCCAGGAGATTAAACCAGTCAGTCATAGAGGAGATCAACCCTGACTGCTCTTTAGAAGGCCAGATACTGAAGATGCAACTCAAATACTTTGGCCACCTAATGAGAAGGAAGGACTTCCTGGAGAAGAGCCTAATGCTGGGAACAATTGACGGCAAAAGAAGGGGACGGCAGAGAATGAGGTGGCTAGATGGAGTCACTGAAGCAGTTGATGTGAGCTTAAGTGGACTCTGGGGGATGGTGGAAGATGGGAAGGCCTGGAGGAGTGTTGTCCATGGGGTCGCGATGGGTCGGACATGACTTCGCGACTAGCAACAACAACAATCCCTGGTCTAGTTACTTAGCAATTTTCCACTCTGTCATTGAGATGCTATACCACAGCCTGCCCTACAAATACATTTGTTTTTAGTCACAAGTGGTGAACAGATATCAGGAAGGTATATAATAGTGGGAATCATATTTGTCAATAAAAAGAGGCTTCCAATTATGACATTTATTCCCATTGGGAGAAATGCCTGACAAATGCCTAGAATACAACTGGCAGCATTGCAAGAGCCATGGAACTGATGCAGTTCATCCAAGGGGACTCTGGACTTGTGTTTCTGGAACAGCAGGACTCCCATGTCACATAACCACAGCTAAAATGGAGCTGGTTTTCTAAAATAGTCTAGGTTGTGGCGCACTGGCAGACTGTTCAAAAGAATTTAAAAAAATAAAATTTTGGGCATACACAAGCACTTAGGCAAGGCTACAATAAATATTTGGCTCTCAAACATTTTCATAAAATAATTGAAACTAACGTTGGTCTTAGGTTTTGATGCAGCTTTCTTCCAGCTGCATGTTAACGTTGCTCAAATCTACTAATAATTCTGGAAGCATAAAGTAATGCTGAATAAGCTACTTCTGCTTACTGTGAATGACTGCACATAGTCTATTCATTTATTTAATCATATGGGAAAAGTTAAAATGCCATGCTTATCACATCAACACAACTCTCTATATATGAGATTTTATTCTTCTGATCTTCATACTTTAAAAGTGGGTTTTTTGTATTATTGCATTATGATACAAGTATTTTTGAGACCAGTATATCTTACTGTTCTTATACTAAAAGTTATAAAAGTATTCTCTATCCTGTGTTTTGCATATTACTATATAATAAACAATACAAAGTATGTTTTGGCTTTTATTTTTGGTAGGACAAATCTTCAGGACTTGGTGTTTCAAACAATGCATGTTTTTCTCTCTAAACTTTTATAGTGTGTATTTGCTAAGCATATTCACTCAAAATGAAATCTTACTCTGTTTGATGGGGTGTACTCCCTGGTAAATATATATAGGATTCCTGCCCAAGAAGCATAGTTTACTATCATTTTGAAAAAGATCAATATGTTCTCTATGCATTGCTATGATTTAAAATTCATGTCTGCATCTTTCTTTCCTCATAAGAATCACACTTTCTGCCCTTCTATGTCTGCTATTTTTTGAAAGAAAAATATTGCTTCAAAATCTATAGCAGATGAGAGTACAGGGACAGAGAAAATTGAAGTTAATTGAACTGTTTGTCCTGTTGGTTGAAAGTTAAATAACAACTGTTTTGAGGTCCAGCTTTGTTCCTTTGTGTTTGTTTAACCTTAACAGACAACTCTGAAGTGTCATCATGTACAAAATGAGCAATGGCAGCACCTTCTGCATTCCAGATTGTTTGACAGCACTTAGCAGTTCACTGATTTGCAGCTGCATTTACTTGTTATTTGTTTAAAATATTTCTAGGTCACTTTTCAGAGCAGGGGCCTTTTCAAGGTGAGTAACAATGTTAAAATGAATACAGCTTTTGAAAACATCCAGTAATAAGGAAGCAAATGTTCATAAAGCATCAGCAATAAAACATTGCCAAAAGCCCACATTGTAAATGCACCTACAAAACCCAACAGTCCAAAATACTTTAACAGGGAAGGTCAGAGTAAACAAGTGAGCCTTCGGAGCCTTCCTAAAAGTCTGCAAGAATGATGATTGACCGACTTCTGGTAGCAGAGATGAGGGGCCACTGCTAAAAAGGTGTGCAAATGGTCTTTCCAGCTAAGAAGTTACAATGTTCGTCCAGTGGGAGAGATTGCTCAAATGCAGCCCTCTTTGAGATGAGTGGCAGAGCTGTTGGATTTAGCTTTTATGCATTACATGGAGGTAACACCTAAAAGTAACACTTTTCTGGAATTCAGCCATAATGTTTTTGCAAGATCAGAGCAGGTATCTGCACAGACATTATGTATCTTCTACAATCTTTACTGAGGATGTACTTTTGGGTAGGTAGTATAATGAAGATAAATTGAGTAATTGGCTGTGGTGTCCCTCTGCCAAGGGACAGAATTTGTATCCTCACTCCCATGAATCTGCACTGTGGTCTCCCTGAGCCCTCCAAACCACAGGGCAGCATGGGGAGTGGCAGGAAGGAAAAGAAATGGCTGAAGCTTGCTTTCTCCCCATTCCATAAACAGATGCATTCCACAAGCAAAGCAACACTAGTGAGATACCACACCATGTTTTTATTTTCTCTTGGAACATTGATTGATGGGGGGGGGGGGGGGAATTTTGCTATTCTGTCCAATCCTATAAAAAGGAAAAAAGAAACTAAAACAAGTACATATTTATAAGCAAAAAGGTGCTGCTCCCTTCAGTTTGGACTCATTCTAACACCTTTGTCTCTATTACAGTGTCCAAAGAACACAGTCATACCAAACATTTTCTTTGTCTCTATTTACAGTGTCCAAAGAACACAGTCATACCAAACATTTTCAGTGAGGAATCTAAGAGGGGTAATGCCAGTGCTGTGCGGCATGAGAATTGTCTGCAGTCACCTGTAGGAGAGGAGTGACGTTGCAGTAGCAGAGCACATGCTGTGAAGGCAGGAGGTCCCACAGCCAATACCCAGCATCTCCAAGAAGGGCTTGGAACTTTTCTTGCCCAACACCCTGGAGAACCACTGCAAGTCGGTAAAGATGAGGCAATACTGAGCTCAATGCACCAATGGAAAACCTGAAGAGACCATAGCACATAGATTGGAGCCTGCTCCACTGTCCCTCTTAAAAATATTGCATTTTAAATTACTTCTGTAGTGGCGCAAATTGAAAAATTGGTACAAGACCAGTTTGGCCATCCTTGGCTTTATTTGTTTTGGCATTGGGAGTCATGATCAGTGTGCTAAATTCCTGTGGTCTCATGCTGCATGGAATCCTCTCAGAAAAATATGAGACCAGCCACTTTGAAGATTTATTTTCCATTCGACCTAGCGTGCAGCTGCTGTGAAAAAGGCAAACTCTATGCCAGCCGTAACTAGGGAAAGAATTGAATATAGTGTACAGTTCTGGTTACTGCACTTGAGAAAGGAAATTCAGTTGAAAAATCGGCAGAGAAGGGCAACTAAAAATGGGCAAGGGCCTGGCACAACTCTTCCTATGAGGAACAGTTCTAGCTTAGAAAAAAGATGAGTAAGGGGAAATCATGGTAAAGTATTTAACATTATGCATGATGTGAAGAAAGTGTAATACTCCTGTAACACCAGAATTCAAGGTCATCCCATTAAGTTGACTGGTGGGAGGTTCAGCACAGATACAAGGAAGAACTTCATCACATGGCACATAGTTAATCTATGGAATTCACTGCCACAGGAGGTGGTGATGTCCATCAATTTGGATGCCTTTAGAAGAGGGACGGACTCATTCATGAAGAGCATGGCTATCAATTGCCTTTAGCCTTGTTGGCGACATGTTACCTCCATTATCAGAGGTACTATGCCTGTGTGCATCAGTTGCTGAGAAATCTGGGCAGGTAGAACTCTTGTACCCACCTTGTGACAAATCCTGTGCACAGCTGGTTTGCTACCATGTGAACTGAGTGGTTTTGTATGGAACATTGGTTTGATCCAACTTGTTTTTTCTTATGTTCTCAGAAGAATTGAAAATAGAAGATTCAGTAAAGCTTGAAGTTCTTCTGCTTCCATCTCAGAGCTTGGTTTGCCTCATTTCCATTTTCAATTAGGACTTGTTTGTCTTTTTGTCTGAACAGGAAAGCACATATTTTAAACCACCTTTTTGAAAGTGCACACACAAATACACATAGCATATTTGTCCCATAGCATAAAGTGTGAAAAGTTGGATTTTGAAGAGCATGCTTTTTAAATTGCAAGAGTGGGTACATGCAAGCGCCCCCCCACCCCCAAATGTGCTCATGGTCATGTCCACAGGTGCACAGAGGGCAAATGTGAACCCAAAACAAAGCAGAATTAAATTCTTATACATCTCAAGAGTGAGTTTGCTCTGCCCCATAGGAATGCCAGTATCAAAAACTCCAATCGTGAACCAAATTAAATCCTTCACTAACAGAAAGGGCAAAGTTGTAATCTTAGACACACAAAGCTGACTCTCTCCAGTGTTAAAAGCTTTAACTGCAAGCTTTTATTTGTTCTTTCTTATTTTGTGAATTGACGGTGTTACCTGTTTACCTTCTTGATCCGATACACGGAATTTTCTTTAAAAGGGTTGTTTTAGCTAATTGAATCATTTTCCCTGCCAGCCTTCCCTCCAACACTGATTTGTGTTCTTAAAGTTTCGCTGGATAGACTTTTAGGGCATAATCCCATGCAAAAAAAAAAATCTTACAAACCCAGGAAAAAAAGTCCTAGCCAAGGTATCCTGGAACTTGAACTTTTTTCTGCCTCAACACAGATAGAGGAGGTTATTTAAAAACATGAAGTCCCAAATAAAGATGGCTTTATTAAGTCTTTGCTCCTCCTTGTCCCACCTCTCGAGTAGTTTCTAAGGTCAAGATTTCTTCCTGCTCATACCAGACTGTAGTGCATTGAATAATCAGCTCAAGTTGTGACAACCCAAATTCAGGCTAGATATCAGTTAGGAAGTTTCCTAATTGTCAGAGCAATGTGACAGTGGAACCAGCTGCTTAGAGAAGTTGTGGGCTCTTCCACACTAGAGACATTCAGAAAGGAACTGGACAGCCATCTGAGTGCGATGGTGTAAATTGTTTCCTGCAACAGCAAGGAACAGATCGATGGCCTTCACTGCTCTTTCCAAATCTACTATTATATGATTCTATGAAAATTTATACGCAGTCACTTAGGAATAACACGCACAGTTCCGAGTGGAACTTACTGCTGAGTAAGCACGCAGAGTAATTACTGCTGAGAAAGCAAGCATGCCACAAAACAATTCCGCTTTCCACCAGCCTCCTCTTGCGCGCGCGCAGATAGTCGCCATCCATTGGCGAAACTAGTGGGCAGGGCCAAAAGCTGCGGGAAACACAAGCGCGCGCGCGCACAATCACAGAAACAAACCGATTCAGAGTCCCACCCCTTTTCTCCTATTGGAAGCTGTTGACCTGACGAATGGAAGCGAGCGCAGGCGCAGAGTCGATGCCAAAGGCGCCTTTTTCTTTTCTATTATTGGGTCGGCCAGGCTTGGAACGCAGGGAGTGGGACGTTGAGCTGAAGGGAAAGGAGGGGGCGGGCGGGCGAGCGGGGGGGGGGGTGACCTTGCGTGACGCTTGCGCAAAGTGTGCCTGGCCTTTCCTCCCCACTGCCCCTACCCCGCCCCTCCCTCTCCCTTGCGCCGCTGGGGCCGGAGGGCTCCAGTTGTGCGCGTCAGTGTGTGTCGAGCGCCACGCGCGAGAGAGCGACGGCGGCGGCGCCGCCCCTCCTCCGCGGTTCAGGCGCGAGCCGCGCCGTTGGGCGCAGCAGCGGCGAGGCGGGCGGCACTCCTCTCCTTCGTCCTCTTCGCTTGGCGGCTGGCGGCGGCTCCTCGTGGAGGACGGTCTCCCGAGCCCGGGCTATGACCTGTCTCCCGAACTACCTGAGTAGCGGCAATCCCTGCGCCGCCCTCCGCTCCTTGCTCAAATCTACGCGGCGGCACCAGCAGCCGCCGCCGTCTCCGCCGCGGCTCCTCGCCTTCAGCGTAACGCCCGGCAGCGTACGCCTGGCCGCCTCGGCGATAGCGGCCGGGCTGCCTCTGTCCTCGTCGGCGCTGGCGGGACGCGATTCGAAGTCGCCCCCCCGCCCCTCTGCGAGCCCGGCTGCCTCGTCCTCCTCCTCGCCGCGGTGCCGCCTCAGCTCGGGCTTGTCGTCGAGGGTCGACGGCGGGTTCCGCCCAGCCCGCGTGGTGGTGGTCGCCAAGACGACCCGCTACGAGTTCGAGCAGCAGAGGTACCGCTACGCGGGGCTCTCGGAGGAGGATCTCAAGCAGCTGGTGAGTTGACACGCCGTACGCCGCTGCCTTTATGCCCGCGTCGGGATGAGATGGTAGAGGCCCGGGCGTGCCTGGGCTGTACCGCTCTCGACAGTGGATGCCCCGTCGCCTCTTTTAATGTTTGCACCTTAACCGAACGAAAACTGGCACGGTAGGGGAAGCGGTGTGGTGGACGTCTATTTTCTCGGTGTGTAAACTTTCAGCTTATGGGAAGCTCAGTGGCAATGATGGTTTCCAAGAGAAAAGAAAAAAGATCATTGGACACTGGCACCCTGGGCCCATGGCACATGGGACAGCCACCTTTTTGAAATAGGTCTTGATTTAGTGCCTTCCAGAAATCCTGGGTATTCTGCCTACCCGTTGCATCTGATGAAATCGTGTTTAGTCCACAAAAGCTTGTATCATGATACATTGTAAGCATGGACATTGTTTTGTTGTGTAAATCATGCACTTAGCCATAGTCAGAAGAGGAAGTCAACACTGTAGACCAGGGGAAGGCAAACCAAAGTTCTGCAGGTGCTTTGGACTGCAACTCCCAGCCTTTCAGAATATTGGCCAAAATATTTGAAGGGCACCAGTTTGTATACGCCTGTTGTGAGCAGATATTTCACATGCCAGATAGGTGTATGACTCCAAAGAACTGTTCTTTTGCTTGTGGTGATAGCAGTAAGCCAGTAATATCTGATGCTGTTACTTTCCTAGAGATTCCCCTACTATTATGACTTATCACTCCCATAGGATAGAAATTGAATCTTTTCGGGTAGGTATCAAAGCAAGGTATGTAGACTGGTTCCCTTCTTGCCTTTCCTACTGTGTAACATATTTTAAAGAGACAAATAAAGAGATCTGTGTGCTTCCCAAGGAACAGTTGGAAAATTAAAACTTACCAGTTTTAAAAATCAGACATATTCAGCAAGATCGCTACTGGGTCTGCTATAAGCTTTCCAAAATCCTTCAACACAAGTATTTTTTAAGCATTTCATCATCTTCACAGTGTTTGGGTTCTGCCCCGTACCTTTCCTAAAACCATCCTGTGACTTACCTGTGGTGAGAACTGAGGCCATAGGTAAGATCAGCGGGCAAGGAGAGGTTAAGTGCTCTCATGTGCATGTGCATTCAAGCGGAACACAGACATTCCTGGCCTCCCAAGACTGTTTTTCAAGTGCCCCCCCTTTTAAGTGGACATTCATTATTTTTCCATTGCATAGACACCTCTGAGAAATCCAGGCAACTATTAATACTTTTTAAATCAGCCCTTTTGTGTCTCATCTGTTTGGTCTAACTGATGAACATTAGCAGTAGCAAAAATATACTAGCCAGCACAGGCTTGCAAGATCACAATTGCTTCACAGTATAGTTAATTCAGTTCAGCTTTACCTATTAGAATGCCCCCTGACCCAGAGAGCAGTGATTACTAACACACAGTACCATCAGTTCCTTGATAATTCAGAGGTTTTGCCTCTTCTGGAAAGTACCAACTACAGGTAGCCAGCTTGCTATGCAGCTCAAGCCAGTCTTAACATCCCTTAGTAGATAACATTGCTCAGTGGTATTCACCATAACCAATCACATGTTGCAATTGTTTGCAGCAACATGAGCAAATAAGAACCCTGTTGAATTAAAGCAGTAGCTTATCTAGTCTAGCATTCTATAATTGCCAAATTGGAGTGGCGAAAAGCAAAATACTTTGACACTGCCAGCATCAGAGATGCCAGATGGTGATAGCTTGTTTAGTGAGTATATGAGGAAGATGAGAATAGTTTGATGGCTGCTTCCAGGGTGTGGAAATTCATTCTAAGAGAGGCTGGGTTTGCTCCTGATCTGCTGTGCTAATGAGAACAGACCAAAAAAAGCCTACTTTACTCGAGAAGACCTTTGACCTGTGAGTGAGTCAGTGGGTTTGGTGCTGTTTTTATTCTATAAATTTATTTTAAATTGTTTATGCTGCCTTGAATATCATTCTTGGTACAAATGCAGGGTAAAACATGAATGAATTAATAACATTGACCTGAGCACCTCAGTACCAGTTCTTCAGGAACTGGTATTGAGAAGCAAACAGCCCTATCCATTTTCTCCACATCATGCATAATTCTGATGCATAAGTAGAATCATTTAATATGTAATTATTTAATACTTCTTTAAATATGTTCCCTTTACTTGCCTTTTTTCCTAAGCTGAAAAGTTGCAAACACTTTAACTTTCCTTCACAGGGGAGTTGTTCAAGTTCTTTGATCATTTTGGTTGATCTTTCTTGCACCAGCTACAATATCCTTTTGTGGTGCAGAAAAGGAGAATCAAAATGAACTGTATTCTGTGTGTGATTGCACTGTAGATGTGTATATCATTACGCTCTTGGCAGTTTTATGTTCAATTTGCTCACAGAATAAGCCTTCACCTGATTTTTTGGGAACCCATCTTTTTCTTACATCACAGCATTTCACCAGAGTTCCCTGACCATCAATATAACATTTTCAGGAGGTTGGAGAGGCTGCTGCAGGGAGGAGAAGGTAGGAAACGCTCCCTTTGCTAGCTCAGCTCACATGCCTAAATCTGAATCCAAGACAGAACCTCCTAATTAGTCAGAGTGGATCAAAACAAAGTTTTGATCAATGTTGCAAGTTTCTCTCTTTAAAATAACCAGGTACCAAGTTTGAATACAAGCATGCTAAACATATTTCGTATATTCAGTTACTGGCTGTATATGAATCATGCTTGCATTAAAGACTGCTCTGCTTTGTAAATGTAGAACAGGGAAAAAATCTTAAGGTCCAACCTGATAAATTTTGGATACATACTCTGTTGTACCTACAGAGTTGGTGCTGGTGGCCATAGACTGGCACATTGTCATTAGCACTGGACCCAGTTCCTAGTTCCCAGAAGATGCTAACCTGTATATATTTTTACGGTGAATGGGACTTCAGACTCATGTGGAAGTAAGCCCACTGAAGACAGTGAGGCTTAGTTCTGAATGCATATGTATAAAATTGCACTGTAAGAAGCTCATATACTGTGCCCACGTATATGATCTTATACACTAGTTCTCTGCTTTTTAATTATCTGACTGCATCCACCTGGATGAGCCTGTATACCCTGTTTCTGCTCTTTAAATACCTGATCTCTATAACTTCTTTAGTTCTAAGAAGTTGGAAATATTCATTCTCTTGTAAGTAAAAACAGGAGAGATGTGCAAACATGGAAGCATTTTAATGAACAAAAGCTACAAGCACAGCCCTGCAAGTGTGGCTATTAGAACAATGCTGGGAGTTGTAGGACTTTTTCTGACTAAACATTAATAGGACTGTGGGGACAGCCATAGGAAAAATTGTGGAGTTTAAACCCTAAAAGGACAAAAACTGGGTCTTTAGAGCTTTCCTTCTGGCATCACAGTCAATGTGGTTATTTACCCACGTGGGTCCAAAGTTGGAGTACTGTCTTCAGAGCTGGTGCTTGGGGAACAGGAAGGGGATTGAAGAAATCCTATGAGAAATCCTGGTGGTGCCTCCAACTCCAACCCTCCCTTGAATGCCTGTAGTCCTCCTGGGTTTAGAGGACTATGGGCATCCTAATTGGATTTTTGTTCTTAGTGACTTAAATTAGTTCACTCTGTGGATATTTCAAAGTGCACTTAATGTCCCTGGCTGGATTTTGCAATTTTTGATCATCTTGAAGTTCAGAGCATCTTGTGGCTTCTTCTTGGCCCTTATCAAGTTTCTAATTGTAGTATTTGAATTACATATATAAATGGTTTTCTCTCAGTTTGTATTCTCTTTCCATCCAGCTTATGTTTGGTTGGTAGAGATCCTCACAGACATCTGGGTGCATTTGTCTGAACTTCAGAGCAATTTGTTTCTGCAAAAGAACGTTGCTTCCTGTGGAGCAGTAATTTCACACGTTGGTTGGTTGCTGTGGAGCAGGGCCAAAGTTCTGTACAGAAAATATGCTGCTTCTAAGTTACTTTGTCATTCTAGTCTTGTTGTGTTCTGTGGATGGTAGCAGAGGAGATTATGGTAGCCAGTAGTGTAACTCTACAGTTTATGTTCTGTGCACAGGCTTCCTTGGCTAGGAAGATTCTGAATGAATAAGATTCATTCCACTCTGCTAGTTGGCAAAAGTTTTCTTTTCCCACAGCTTTCACTGATGTACAATAATTCTATCTATTCAGTAGAGGCAAAATAAATACTGAAGTAATTTCTTAGAACACTGTTTAAACCGTTATAGTTCCACCTCTATGGTGTTGCATAGCTCATATATCATATGAGTGAATATGGATATTGCTTCTAATTGGTTTCTTTAACCATCTGTTGTGTATATACTTGCAAGAGGTACTTTTGCAAATATGTAGCCTTTGAGCTGGTTTTTGCAGAACATGTCAGCTTCATAGTAAAAGCTCATTCTAAACTCTCAGGTAGGCTGTTCATTATGTGTGTGTGAATTTTAGGGGGATTGCAAGCACCTGCATGTTTAAATAAATCAAACATTTTGTTTCTCTGCCTCCCACACCATTAAATCACTTTGGTGCAGGGAGGTGTATTTATGTGACTGCACAATAGCTAGCCAATTGATACTGTAAATCTGACTGCAAGAGCCATCCTGTGCAGATCTAAGTGGCTGAGGGTGCATCTGCTTATTTGCCAACCTATCTAGAGAAGGCAGACCTTGTCACAGTTATTCCTATCTTTGTTACATCTAGATTCTACCAGTGTAATTCAGTCTATTTTGCATATTGGCTTTGGTATTATGTTGTTTGAAATTCTATGTATACTGCCCTAACATCCTTTTTGAATGAAAAATTAAAAAAAAAAGTTTGCCGTTACCTTAAAGTTTAAAAGCTTCAGCTGATAGTGGATGCAAGTTCCTGGTTGCTTGCACTGTCTTGATCAGAACATATAACACTGATTCTGTATTAACTATACTGTTTGCATGTGCATTTCTGGACCCAGTTCAAAATGGTGGGTATTACCTTTAAAGCTCAAAAAGGCTTGAATAGATTATTTGGAGAATCTCATATACCTATATGAACCTGCCATCAGCTCACATTCAATATCAGATCAGTGGGCATCAGAATTGGCACCTTTTCACTTTGTGGCCACATCACTATGAAACTGCCCCCTTTTGGAATCTGTGTCTGGATGTGTTTCAATGAGCTCTTAAAACCTGGTTGTCTGAAACAGCTTTTAACTTGATTAACTGATGCCGATTTCTAGTTAAAGAATTTTAAAGGCAACAACTATTTTATTGCTGTTACTACTAATAAGAAATCAATATTTTAAAACTGTTTTAAAATTCAATAAACTACATTGAGGTGAATTTCTGCTTAGAAACATTGTATATTAAATACTAACATAGTAAATACCACATTAGGTACATGTGCATGTGCTTTATTTTTTTCACAGCTGTCCTCACTAAAATTGTGTATATACTGCTGTGAAGTTGTCTTTTTTTACATTATTGTTTTAATTACATTTATATGCTGCTGCTTTCCACTTGTGGGGAACTCATGCTGGCTTACATGGTCTTCTCTTCATTGAACCCTCACAACTCTGCATGGTAGATTAGATTGAGAATCAGTAACTGGCCCAAAGTCACCCAGTGAGCTTAATAGCTGAATGAGGACTAGAATTTGGATCTCCAGAGTTCTAGTTCACCACTCTAATGACTACTCCACACTAGTTCTTTATCTTTGAGTTCCATTACTTGCACATAGTGCCATCTGATTTTACTTCTTAAGAACTTCTGTCTTGAATTAATTTTGTTCAGATCTTTACTTTGCATCTCCAGACTGAATAAGCAAAGAAATTAATGCTTTTGAATAAAGCTGAAATTTATTTTGTGATAACATTTAACAGGATAAGTGGCGAGTTTCTGACTGTTATTTTATGAGTACTGTAGCTGTATTCTAATATTAGGAACATTCTGCACTAATCTTGTTGCTTAAAAGTCTACTAAAAGAATAGAAACTTTTATATTCATGTTTCCATGTTAATGCTTTAAAAGCAGAACACAGGATAGTGTCTAGAAAGATTTGGATTCCCATATAGGAGTTTTTTAAGGCCCATCTTCTAGAATTTGACTCTGACAAGGTATTCTCAATCCTATAAGATTGCATTTGTTTGTACAGACATATATGCTGAAAAAAAATACAAATAGCATGTTTTTATATATCCTAACAGGATAATCCATTGGTCAGAAATGGTAGCAAGATCATCTTAAAGTGAGCAATTTTTTCCCCTGGACCAAGTTGGATTTGGGTCCAACTTCAGAACTTCTCCAGCTCATGGGTCCCTAATGCTAACTATATTTCAAAAGTGAATGAGTGAAGATTGTCATGTACACTTACATGTAATGATCCATGGGGCTGGAATACTAGTCCAACATAGTTAGCAGAAGAAGAACAGAATGGGAAATCTGGTGCTTAAAACCACATATGGAGCATTTTTATAAAAATGAAGCAGCAACTTCCTTCTTTTCAAATTCAGTAAGAATTGTAAAGTCATCTAAACTGAATGATTGTCTTCTGACTCTTTCAACCGCCCTTTTCTGGTTTCATCTGCTGAGCCAGACTGGAGGGGAAAAATTGCTAATAGTATATAAGTTAACTGACTGACTGACTGTGCTTTCTTGGATCCTGTCCTCTTTGGAATGTTTGGTTCCTTTTTCAAGTATTCTGCTCCTTTAAAACAAAACCTGTACTACAGTTGAACCACTAGTTTAAGATAACTTGGCAGTCTCACTGTTCCTCATGGTGAGACAGATTACAAAGAAGTAAACTCTCAGCTAATCTTCTTTCAGAGCTTCTTCCCTGAACAAAAGAGTGTTTCTCTGCTTGGGATATGCATCAAGAAATGACTCTTCTAGCAGGTGTTGTACTGTGGAAACTGATACTTGTCAAATTTAGCTGGATTTTTTGGGGGGTGGTAAATGAAATATATGGATGCAACCTAGGAGAGTCAGCTAAATGGTAGTTCTCCCAATACAACTGGGATTAAACAGCCTTTAAAAGTTGCATATAACATTCTGTTGATACACAATTGTCAAAGAGATTTGAAAACATGGGTGCATTGCTAGAAGTGGTTTATTCCAGTTAACTTGAACAAAGGCTTAACTTGGTCCCAGCTTGCCACCCTCTAGATAATCAGCCTTTCCCAACTTACTGCCCTCCAGATGCCATTGTAAGCCACTCAGAGAATTGCAACCATTGAAGAGCACAGACATGAAATAATTAAAAAAAAATAATACAATGCCAGGTTTTCCTGGCTGTTTGCATGCTGGGAGATGAAGTCTACCAGATTGGGGAAGGCTGGTTTAACTTGTACTAATTAGTTATGTACACATGGGCTCATAGGAGCCAGGCTAAGATTTTGTAGAAGTTGTACTATTCTAATTTAAGTGGAGCTTGTTTGAAGATACATTAAAAATCAAAATCAAAGCAATGCCTTTCTACAATAAGGTGATTTTTATGGAGAGCCAGTGTGGTGTAGTGGTTAAGAGCATGGGACTGGGACTCAGATGATCTGGGTTCTAGTCCTCGCTTGGCCATGAAGCCAACTGGGTGACTTTGGCCCAGTCACAAACTCTCAGCCAAACCTACCTCACAGGGTTGTTGTGGGGATAAGATGGAGGAGGAGATGTAAGCTGCCTTGAGCCCTTTGTAGGAAAAAGGCAGGATATAAAACGAAAAATAAATAAATAATTTTTTATTTTGACAGTATGACTTTCTTAAAACACACAACATTTTGGAATTCATAAAAGTCAATGCAGTTCTTGTATCTGAATCCAAGTAATGTTCATAATGTAGAATATGCATTACTCTGGGGATGTTTTTATGGAGGGATTAATGTAGAGAGATTTAGTCCCTTGTGTGGCCTTAACTGTTTTATATAATTCACTGCTGTATGCTCAATGAATATAATCCTGGTACATTAGATGGATTTTGATAGAGGATAGATCTGTTTGAAGGGAAGCAGATGAATCTGTGTCTCTTATTTTCTTCAGGTTCTTGTACTGATACATTGTTTCCTGTCCTGCACATTTAAAGAATTCAAATGAAATTTAGTGACAACTTTTAATCCTGTTTTCCATCAACTATCCTATGAGTTTGTTTCTTAAGAATATAACTTACCTTAAGCATGCAGCATTGGCACTATTCAGACAATACTCTCTCAAATAGTCAGATAAGTATTTGTAATTCTGTGCAGCTTTCAAAATGCTTGCAGGTTGGCCAGCCAGAATTCTGAAGCCTGCAAAGAATTACAATGAAGTGTGCTCATTAAAGAGAGTGGCATTCATAAAAACAAATGTATTTGTTTATTTTTATTTTTTCCTTCTCTAACTGATTTGGTCCGATAAACTTAGTTTTACTTACAGTTTTTTTTCCAGTTCTTTTAAAAGAATGTATTAAATTCCCAACTTACTTTCATCTGGGTGACAACTCTAGTGTTAAATTTTCTTAATCTTTTAGCAATGGGGTTATTAGCTTTTTCTTGTGTCTGATAATTAGTTGACTTGAGTACTGCTTTATGTTGTATCGCAAGATTAAAAATTGTAAATTGTAATAACTGCCAGCCTTGCCAAACATATATATAAGGCACTTTGGAGCATTTCTATTCTGAAAAGTTTGGGTAGAAATAAAAATTGGTAATAGTAACTATTACTTGTGCTTTTGTTTTTCACAGCTTGCATTAAAGGGCTCCAATTATAGTGGACTACTAGAGCGACATCGGATTCATACAAAAAATGTGGAACATGTTGTAGATAGTTTAAGGTAAGGGTATGTATCAAGAATTTTGATTATACTCTGAAGTAATTTTAGTAAGCAGATGTTCTAGATGTTAGGTGAATTCTGACATCTAACTGTCCTAAAAACACTATTGAAGTGAGATTACATGCATGCTTCTTAACTCCTTGCTTTATTTTCATTTTAGTAATGGTACCACATGCTGCTTCTAAAATTCTGAGTTTCAGAAACATCTTGGTAAAAGCAGGAAAATTTTGGCTGCTTAAAAAACCCCCAGCAAGAAACTTGTGTAGTTTTGTAAACTGTGGCCAACTGTATGCTCAGTGCTTTGTAGTATTTAGTCATCTGGACAACATATAATGTCTGATTGGACTTAAATGCAGTAGAATTTATGTTGCACTATTTTTAATGAAAGTCCCCTCTCCATTAAATAATATAGCAACAGTTATGAGCTACTACTTGCACTGCAAGTTTTACTGTGCATTGGTGTAAATTTTTGCTCAGCCCAGGTGGGGCCGTTTTTTGAATAACGAACGAACAAAAACAAACCCCCCACTGATAATGTTGATGTGTGATCCTATGTTTAGTACTTCAGGTTTAGTTGGGAAAGAAGATGTGGGGACCATTGTGTGAAATCCTTTTTGTTTAAATAATTGGAGGCCTTTCAAGGAACTGGTAACCACAGCTTGTTGTAAGTTACAGATGCTATTCATGAGATTCATTTTTGTACTGTACTCAGTATTTAAAGTTAATTTGTTTTTCACTTCCCCTTTCCTGGAGGGCATTGCTTAATTTGGATAAACCAGCTTTTTAACTTGAAAGATTACATTCCTGAAGCCTTGAAAACCTGAATAATCATCTGTATTTCCATAAATCTTCAGGAATGAGAAGATAGAGGTTCGACTTGTGAAACGCAAAGAATATGATGAAGAGACTGTTCGGTGGGCAGATGCTATTGTAGCAGCAGGAGGTATTAACTTGTGAGTGGGGAAGTGTATTTTGCATTACAGTAAATATGAATTAACACCTTTGTGATAGTATGGAGAATTTTTTATTTGCTCATACATGGACAGCTCTGAGGTGAAGTATCAGTGTAACAATGATATAGCCCCAGTGTTTTGGTTTTGAACAAATGTTAGTATTGGGACTCAATTGGCATCCTTTCTACCAGGCTTAAAAACTTGGCTTCCATTGCTTAAAAATGTAGCTTGGCTTTTTCCAAAGTTTATCTAGTAAAAAAACAGTACCTGATCTCCATATCTATGGAATTCTTAACTCATCCAGTATATAAAAATACAAGCATGATTATGTGCTCTTTTCTGGAATGGAACATTTCCAGGTAATACACCCAAATAACCCACAGTAGTTTGAGGGTTGTTTCTGCCTCCAACAAGCCATGCTATCTGGGTTGAGCCTGCCCAAAAATTAGGCAAATAGCACCTGACATGTGTTGTGGCTTAAATAAAAGAAGTGACTTGTTGAAGCCATGGTAATCACTTTATTAGCCAATTGATCTATTAGCATTTTACATTTTGGCAGATACTACAGCAGGCAATATCTTATTTGCTACTAGACTTAACTTATATTACAATGCACTGGCATAAGTGACCTGTAATGCAGCACCATTAGCACTGGATGGTGCAATGACTTTCCAAGGACAGGGCATCAGTGAAGCTGAGAAGCTTCAGCACAGCCCATGAACACTGAGACTGCAGTGTGATAGTGGAAACAAGTAGGGTGAGTGGACTTTCCCTCCCAGAAGCAGATGTGAATAGCTATCTGTTGGGGATCTTCTGACTCTGGATTTTCTGCAGTGAATATTGGTTTGGATTAGATAGGTCTTGCCCAAGATGACTCGCAGCTGGAGGCTTTTAGAAGTTGGAGTCCAACATATCTGTAGTGTTCCAGGTTGGAGAAGGCTACATTAGATGGTATACAAAAACCTCTCCAACTTCATGATTCTAGAAAACCCTCAGTAAACTACTCTGCTTGTTATTATCTCATCTTTCAGAATTGTACTTTTGGACAAGGCTTAATCATATAAATTAAGAAGCATGCTGCAGAGGTTATTATTTAAACTCTTTGCATTAATTTCCCTTTTTTAAATAGCTATCTCTTCCTGATGACAATTTGTGTTTCACAGTATCTGTTTTTGCTAGTTTTTTTCCCAAAAATTATTTGCTGTTGATGGGTACAAATATGCCTGTATGTTATACTTCAGTTTGGAATTTTAAAATGTTCTTACAGAAAAGCAATTTAATCTCAAACTATATATTCTATCTAGGTGATGGCACAATGCTTTTGGCAGCTAGTAAAGTGTTGGACAGATTAAAACCAGTTATTGGAATAAACACAGACCCTGATAGGTGAGCCTAAAATTTGCAAAAATCTTGTAGTGTTATAAACTGAAGTGTTACAAGTATTGGTGATTTGAAAGAAAAAATTCTTAAAGTGCATGTTGTATTGTTGGTACTGCGGTACCTCGGCTTGTGAATGCCTTGGTTCTCGACCTAATCGGGTCGCAAACAAAAATTTCATGAAAATTTTGACGTGGGTCACAAACTCCGCATTGAATGGCAACCAAGATCGCAGCCATCTCCCCGCCCCCCCCCCCGAGTGGGGAGATGGCCACGATCGCAGTTGTGTTTGTGCAGGGAAGACGTGCGTGATCATGGGCGTGCTCCTGCAGGAATGATTGGCACAATCTCGGCCATCTCCCCCAACCAGCATGATTGCGGCCATCTCCCTACCACCCCTGATTGGCTAGATGGCCGCAATCGTGCTGGAGGTGGTGGGGGGGAGATGGCCAAGATCGCGCCCATCTCTCCCTTCCCCAGCGTGCCCCATTTGCGCTGGTCTCCCCCTTCCCCCATATGCCCCATTTGCACCCATCTCTCTCCCCCAGCACACCCCATTTGTGCCAGTCTCTCTCTCCCCCAGCATGCCCTGTTCACACCTGTCTCTCTCTCCCCCAGTGCACCCACGATCACGCCTGTCTCTCCCCCCGCCCCCCGGCTCCAGGATGACAGGCGCGATCTTGGTCTTGCTGTGGGGTGGTGGGAAGATGGCCGCGATCTTTGTTGTTCTTTGTCACTTCACATTTTTCTGATTAAAAAAATGGTTGCAGAACGGATTAACCTTGCTTACATTGAACCTTAAGGGGAAATTTAACTTGACTCACAACCAATTTGGGTCATGACCAGAGTTCTGGAATGGATTAAGTTTGTGAGCCAAGGTACCACTGTATATATAAATGACATCCTTTCTTATTATGCATGTTATCTTGCATGTTAGGTGGGGCAGGTTTTTAATATTAATAAAATCAATTGCTTTTAGCAACTTCAGCAAGTATTCTGAGGTCTACAAATGGTCCATGATTCTATTTAAGAAGAATAGTTTGAACAGCAGAGTCATTTAGATAAATTAACTGCAATATGTTGGGCTGCCTTAGATAATAGTGCAAAAACTGCAGCTTGTGCCAAATTTGGCAGCCAAATTTTTGAGTGGAACAAGGTGATGTGAACATATAAACCCAGTCCTAGCTTGCTTCATTGGTTGCCAGTTCTGTTTCTGAAGTAAATTCTGGGTTTAAAGTAGAAAGCCATACATGGCAGTAGACCTGAGTACCTTAAGGGTTGCATCTCCCCTTATGAACCTTTTGAATCCCTGAGGTCATTTTCAGAGGCCCTTCTTTGTGTGCCCCCTTTAATAGAAGCTTAGGGGGTACTAAGCTTTTACGTGGAAACCCGTTTAAGGAGTGCTTTCCCCAAGGAAGCTTTCATGCATCTTTCATGCCAGTATTGCATCTTTTCAGCAACAGGCAAAGATGCATTTCTTTCCTAGGCATTTAGACATTTGTTCTGGTTGTTTTGGGTTGCTTTTGTGATGTTCATTCTAGATGAGTGTGTGTTCTTCTTTGTGGTTTCTGTGCTTCACACATATGGGCTCTGCACCTCCTTGGAGCCTATTGTTAAGAAGATTCTTCAGCTGAGAGAGCTTTGGCCATCTTCCTCATCCTCGGCTCTGGTATAGAAGAGAGGTTCCTGCGTATTCCCTCAGTTCTTCTTTGACCATCATTGTGGCAACTTGGGAAGTTCTAGCTCTCCTTGTGATTCATGGCTTTTTCTTACAGCATCTATTATTTTGTTAGCAACATCTATTACACTTTGACTACTTTCTTTACATTCCCCCCTTATCTCTCTACCTTCCTTACCTCAGAGTTCCCTTTTCACCTTTTTGTTCCGTGCCATTTTTCCCTTATACTATATTCGCCAAATCTAAGGGCAACAAACCACTCTGATGTGACTCTGCAACCCCCATCAGTACCAGTCATGCTTGAATCCACTCCTGTAGCACTGAGAAAAGAACTGGTCTCAGCAACCTTGGCATCAGAAGGAGAGATCTGGGACACATCACCTCAACCATAGACCCATCCTCCTTCCATGGCTTTGGGGTTGCTCCAGATACATGCCATATCACCAGTCCCGGTGGAGCCAAGCCACATCAAATTCAAGTGCTCTAGACCGTGCTCTTGCTCAACCCTCTTGGATGGACACTTGGAATGGTCAGTCCCACTGTCATACTGAGGATTCTAGAACCCATGGGAGTGCTGTTGGGGTCATGAATCCTTCTGTGATCCTTTGTGTCAATGAGCACTCCATCTGAAGTCCTATTTCAAAGGGTGGGAGCATTTCTACAGGAACATTGCGTTACAGCCCCCCCCCCCCACACACACACAGCTACCTAGATCCCCATTGCCTACTATTCACCTACAAACCTTTCAAGAACTGTTGCTGGACCATGCTACATCCTCCGCCATACCACCACAGTGATCATCATCACTTGCCTCTGTTCCCTTGGGAGCAAGACTAGAGTCTTGCACCATCTGGACAAGAGAACTATGCATTAGATGCAGCTTCATCATCATCAGTGGCTCCGTCTCACTTATCGCCTGAAGTGGCTGTGAGAACACAGGACATAGCATCTCCATCTGAAGACCTGAGCCTTTTTTCAGATTAGATCTTCGAAATGGTCTTGTGTCTGGGCCTGGACACACAGTAGCCAACAGAGAGAACAAGAGGCCTATATTTGATGCATTCTACACAGAGGTGTTGACCCCAGTTGCTGTACCATTCCTGCCAACTCTCCTGCTTACAGTCCTGTTACAGCAGTTGTAGAAGATGCTGTCCTCCTTAGCTCTGATAATCCAGAAACCTCGAGAACATGTACGTGGAGCAGGAAAAAGATGTGGCCTTCCTTTTCCAATATCTGCAACTGAACTCTTTCATCATCAAGGTTACCCAAGGAAGATCATATTTGGAACACTGCACCAGTAGAAAGGGAAAGCTGCTTCCTGGACCTAATGAGGAGGTGCATCTACTTGTCTTCTGCTTTAGGGTTCTGGATAGCAAACTCCCAGGTTACTGTGGCCTAATAGCAGCTCTTTCTGAAGGACAAGATAGGTTCCTTCTGTGAGGAGGACCAAAGAGAAGTAGCCAGGATCTTCTAAGTGCAAGCATTGCACATCTTCCACTAGAATTGCCGGGATCAAGCCCACTGCAAAGCACAGGTGATGATCAGAACAATGGTTTTGAGGAGGCATGCATGCCTATGTCCTTCCAGTCTGTCACAGGAGGCTCACTCCTGGATTGAGGATCTAATAATTGATGGTGATGGACTCTTCAATGTAAGGGAAAACTCTCTTCATTGTATAATCTTCTCAACAACAGGCTTGAAGCAGTCACAGAGCCTGTGTGTGTGAATGCACAGATGACCACTCAAAGCATGAAAGTTTTGAATGAATTCCTTATTGCCTTATTTTTTCAATGAACATGTTGTATTGTTTTTAGATAATTTAAAATATTTATTTGTATTGTTCTGATTAAGGTTTATGCTGATTTTGGTTTCCCCCTTTTTTCTTGTTACAGTAATCATGGATTTCTGTATATTGTGTCAGTCTCTTTGAGACAGTTTTTCTGTGGTGTGAGGCAGCACATAAGTATAATAATTTTAACCAGTACTGTTCTGCTAGTTGGGGAAGGACTTTTAATGATCCATAATTTTACAATATGCTGAATATTGTCATTTCATTATTAATTGTTATCATTTTAAAACTGTGTATTTTAAATAAATACCCAGATATTCCCAGAAGTTGCCTTACAGTTTATCTTTCAGATTGGCATGCAAGTTTTCTATTCCCATGCATTCTCTGCATGATTGGTTCTTGGTTCATTAATTCTATATTTAAATTCATTCCAAATCTAAATATTAAATTGCTAACTAGTAGGACACACATTTTCATTAGAATCAAAATGGCAGCATGTAGGATCCTGTGCCCTAACCCCTGCAAATGTGGAGGGCCAACTCTAAACTGGCATCTCTTTTTAAAAAGAAAACTTCATTTTAGATTGGGTGCATAACTAACTTAGGCAGTGACTGGGTTTGCATGAGGCAACAACCAGCTATTGTTTGTTATAGCAGGTTGTTCATGGTGTCGTGCAATCCCACTTGTAGTGACTAATTGTTGGATTGTGGTTGTTGAACACAATAAGATACAACAGTCTGTTCTAGGGTTTGCTTGTATTCCAACTGCTTGTTATGTTATCCACACTCAGATAATGTTTCTCAAAGTGGGCCAGAACAAGGGGCCTTTCTTGCCTGAGCAGTGAGCCAGAGAATGTGGCTGAGGGCTGGCCCCAAAGTCCACTGCCAAATTAGTCAAGCACCCATCCCCCCTGCCTCTCTGGCAGAAGGTGGGCATGACGATTGACTCCGTGATGCTGCCCTTGAGGCAGAACAGAGGACCTGTCTACCTGCTAACTCACAATCATGGCTATAAAAGAGATAGTTGTGTTCCCTGGGACCACCAATGGGAATGGGAGACAGTTAAAGCCGTAATCTGTAACAATTCTATTTTTAGCCTACCTTCTAGTTTAAAATCACATACATTTATAATCTGTAGCTTATTGACTTTGTCTCTTGCTTAAATTTTACATTAGTTCAAAATGACATTTACATTTAATCATGTCTCTCCCTGTACAAGAATGCTTATGAAATAGAGTATCTGGGCATATTTGACAGCCTGTGTGAAATAGCTGACAAATTGCTCCATCTCTCACATAAGGCTATTTAAAAGTTATCCACCTAGTTATAATAATGTGATCTAGTATCCTGCTACATATTCATCTTTTTACAGTGAAAGGGAAACAGATTTTGCCTGGGGGGGGGGGCGTAGCAGAGCATTAAATTCAGTGCCACATATGCAGACCACCAGTTGTTTTTTCCCCTGCTTCAGTCCCCCACATGTCCCCCAGATCTACTCCAGGACCTCTCCACCCTCTGTGATGTGGCACATGAAGGTCTGCAACAGGGAAGTGAAATCCATTCTGCCAGTCATTTTTATTCGACTGGCAGATGGCCAGCATTGAATACAACCAAAAGTAATCTGCCATGCCTTACTTTTGTTTTGATATATTCAGATCTGAAGGCCACCTGTGTTTACCTGTACGATATACACACGCATTTCCAGATGCTCTACAGAAACTCTATCATGGTGAATTCAGGTAGGTAAGAACTTACACATCAAAATACAGTTGTCCTTAAAGAAGTTTAATTTTAAATTGTGTACTTAAAAACATAGAACTGTACTGCATTCAGATATGAAAACTATCATTTTGAACCCTACTTCTACAATGGTGCTTATAGTCTATAGGAGAGGTGGGCAATTTGCAGGCTGCATATGGCCCCTCCTGTTGCTGGTGCAGCTCTGCTGCCTTTTCAACAGGTGCTCCCTACCTGCAAGTGTTAACAGTATTAACATTGGTTTGGCAAACTGATGACCTAGCCTTTTTTCTTTGCAAGAATAGCCCCTAGATCGCCCAAAATTGCCCACTCCATTCTAGTGAATGCATATATTTTCTGATCTCATTAAAATGAATGAAGAAAATGTAATGTCAAGTAATGATCTGTATTTTTGAATCATGAGCATAATTAATACAATTTGTGACCAAGTCAGAGTAGTGTGCCTGCAGAAAAGAACCTATAGGAAAATTGTCAGCTCTTCAGTGTAAACTAAGTTTATTCATGCAAACTATTCAACACACATAATGGTGGAAATCACACCTTTTAATAGTAAACTCAGCTGGTGAGTACTACTGCATTGTAGCCCAAACAGGACTCCTGAGAGACAAGAAAAAAGATACCTTCATGCCCGAAGAAACTCCATTATTTTGCAGAAGTACAAAAAATCTCCAGGAAGGGGGAAAAAAACTACTGGGGCAAACTAAAATTCCAATGAGCATTGCTCATGCTTAGTCACAGAATGCTGAATTATCTGTTGAAGAATGGCTATGGGGACATGGAATGAACTGGAGTATGCTGCAGGATAGCCTGGCTGACTGGAATCCTGAGCAGGAGCACTTCACACTGCAACATGTTGTGCCACGTTCTACTTGTAAATAATACTAGTGGTAAATTCCTTCTTCCCTTCTCTGCCTCCCTCACTATCTCTTCTAGTGTTGTAAGTCCATTAGTTCAGGAGAAGGAGATTGGAAAGAAATTCCTCATTTTCTTTGCTGTGCTACCAAAACAGTTACCATGCATTCTGTTAACTCCTGTTCAGATGAAAGAAAAGAGCAGCCTTGGGGAAAAAGCTGCTATTTACCCAGTGGCAAGCGTTACATTAAAATATACCTTGTTGCCTATATTCAGGGCTTTTTTTTTTGTCATAGAACACACTGGAACAGCGTTCCGGCACCTTTTTTTCAATGGATTTTACAAAGTGAATTTGATTTCCATAGCAGATCAGCAGCAAACATCATTAACATAGTGCCTGCAGGCTGCTATTGTGTCTGCTATCTGATAGTGAGAGATAGCTGCTTGGTATGCTGCTGGGCTTGGCTGGACAGACTTGAGTTCCAGCACCTTTTTTTTACATAAAAAAGCACTGCCTGTATTTATTAACACTCATTTGAAATGTTATGTGCTTCATGGCATCATTTTTTGGTAAAGGACTAAATTTGGGACTTGTGTCAGTCATCTAGAGGTACAAAAGAATACTATTAACATTACAAAGTGTTGTAGAGTTATACTAATCAAAATACCTTCAATTAGGACAAATGTTTTTGGGGGATTTTCGGATCAACTGGTTTAAAATGTAAGTTTTAAATATATTTTTCAGTTGGCATAAATTTGTAGCAGAAATTAAAACTGTTACACTGGTATAATAATCTTAACTTGATTGCTGTGTGCAATGCCTTTCAAATCCTCAAAGGGTTATTTAGCAACATACAGGAAACTCTTGTCAGAATTTTTAGCTATTCTTAAATATATGTAGTGAACATTTCATTTTATGTAATGAAAAATTGGGAATTTGAAGGCACTGTATATAGCCAACCATCTACAGAGAATATATTCTGATTAATATTTTTTAATTCTTAATATTATTTATTTATTCTTTGGCCAAGGCGACTTAAATTTTACTGTTATACTGCTAAATTATATTGTTTTATATTATGTTATTTATTTATGATTGTGAGCTGCCCCGAGGCCTCGGCGAATGGGGCGGCATAGAAGTCCTCTAAATAAATAAATAATATGTAGAAATTAATAAATAGGTTCTAGAAGCAGGAATAAGATTGCAGTAGGAACATGCTATTTCCTCTACTGAGGCTATTGCAAAGACTACTAAAACAAGTAATTTTCTTTTTGTCCTTAAATGGATTTCTCTGAAATCTCCACTTTTCTAGCATCAGAAAGTGAGAAAAAGCATATCTTACCATTTGGATACCTGAAATGAGACCCCTTAAAATTGGTAGAAATCTGTTAACTAGTGAATGAGTATTGATTTTACCCCCACCACCAGCTAAATTTATATGATAATTACAGATTAATGATTCTTACAACTCAGATGATTTTTACAACTTAAATATACCTAATGGCATGAATGCAGCTATGTGGACTAACCATCTTGAATTGCTGATTCATTGAAAAAGTATTTTTTACTTGTTTTGGCCTTTATGCTATGTTCTCCTTTTAAAGATGGCAGTGGCGCCAGCGCATCCGTTTGTACCTTGAGGGGACTGGTATTAACCCTGTCCCTGTTGACTTGCATGAACAGCAGTTGAGTCAAGAACAGCATAGCAGAGCCCATGTTAATGGAAGATTTCAGGATCAAAGTAAGAACTGTTTCCATCCTAAAGTAAAATAAACTCAAATTGATGTCTGTGATTCAGTCTTAAAATATTGACTTGTTGTTGTTGTTGTTAGTCGCGAAGTCATGTCTGACCCATCACGACCCCATGGACAATATTCCTCCAGGCCTTCCTGTCCTCCACCATCCTCCAGAGACCACTTAAGCTCACACTGATTGCTTCAGTGATTCCATCTAGCCACCTCATTCCCTGCCATCCCCTTCTTCTTTTGCCTTCAATTATTCCCAGCATTAGGCTCTTCTCCAGTGAGTCCTTCCTTCTCATTAGGTGGCCAAAGTATTTGAGTTTCATCTTCAGCATCTGGCCTTCTAAAGAGCAATCCAGGGTTGATCTCCTCTAAGACTGACCGGTTTGATTGCCTTGTGGTCCAAGGGACTCACAGGAGTCTCCTGCTGCACTACAATTCTTCGGTGCTCAGCCTTCCTTATGGTCCAACTTTCACAGCCATACATTGCAACTGGGAAAACCATAGCCTTGAATATACGCACTTTTGTTGGCAGGGTGATGTCTCTGCTTTTTAGTATGCTATCTAGATTTGCCATAGCTTTCCTCCCCAGGAGCAAGCGTCTTTTAATTTCTTGGCTGCAGTTTCCATCTGCGGTGATCTTGGAGCCCAGGAAAATAAAATCTGTCACTACCTCCATTTCTTCCCCATCTATTTGCCAGGAAATGAGAGGACTGGATGCCATGATCTTAGTTTTCTTAATGTTGAGTTTCAAGCCAACATTTGCACTCTCCTCCTTCACCTGCATCAAGAAGCTCTTTAGTTCCTCTTCTCTTTCTTCCATTAGAGTGGTATCATCTGCATATCTGAGGTTGTTGATATTTCTCCCCGCAAACTTAATTCCAGCTGGTGATTCACCTAGCCTCTCCTTTCTCATGATGTGCTCTGCATATAAGTTAAATAGGCAGGGCGACAGTATGCAGCCTTGCCGAACTCCTTTCTCATTTTTGAATCAATCAGTGGTTCTTTGTCCAGTTCTCACTGTTGCTTCTTGACCCACATATAGGTTTCTCAAGAGACAAATAAGATGGTCTGGTACTCCCATCTCTTTAAGAACTTGCCACAATTTGTTGTGATCCACATAATCAAAGGCTTTAGCATAGTCAATGAAGCAGAAGTAGATGTTTTTCTGGAACGCCCTAGCTTTCTCCACGATCCAACGTATGTTGGCAATTTGATCTCTAGTTCCTCTTCGAAATCCTGCCTGTACTTCTGGTAGTTCTCGGTCCACATACTGCTGGACCCTAGCTTGTAGGATTTTGAGCATCACTTTGCTAGCATGTGAAATGAGTGCAATGGTGCATTAGTTTGAACATTCTTTGGCATTGCCCCTCTTTGGGATTGGAATGCAAACTGACCTTTTCCAATCCTGCGGCCACTGCTGAGTTTTCCAAGTTTGCTCGCATATTGAGTGTAGCACTTTTACTGCATCATCTTTTAAGATTTTGAATAGCTCAACTGGAATATTGTCACCTCCACTAGCTTTGTTGTTGCTCAGACTTCCTAAGGCCCATTTGACTTCACATTCCAGGATGTCTGGCTCGAGGTCAGTGACCACCCCATCGTGGTTATCAGAGATGTTAAGCTCTTTCTTGTACAGTTCTTCTGTGTAATCTTGCCACCTCTTCTTAATACCTTCTGCTTCTGTTAGGTCCCTGCCATTTTGGTCCTTTATCATGCCCATCTTTGCATGAAACATTCCCTTCATATCT